CAGCTGCTAGCAGCATTTGGAGAAATGCACTTATTCTATAACACAGAAGGTCTTATTAAAAAGCATTTGTCAAGACATTTTCACTTGTTAAATTACTTAGATTTACAGAGAAGTTGCAGATGAGAGTATGGCGAACTCCCTTGCCTTTCTCATCCAACTGCCCCTAATGTCAACATCTGCCATGTGATCCTAACAAAACAATCCAAACCAGCAACTCCACACTGGCCTAATTATACCAGCAACATCACAGCCATTATCAGGGCCAGAGGCACTGTGATCCTGTGCTTTCTTTTCTGTTCCAGAACCCCGTCCAGGATCCTGCATTGCAATGGCTTGCTTTCTTTTCTCTCTTTTTTTTTAAAGGTTTTTAATTTTACTTGGAAAGTCAGCATTACAGAGAGGCAAAAGATTTTCCATCTGCTGGTTCACTCCCCAAATGGCGTCAACCATCAGAGTTGGGACTGGTCCACAGCTGGGAGCATGGAACTTCTTCCAGATCTGCCATGTGGATGCAGAGACCTAAAGACTTAAGCCATCTTCTGTTGTTTTCCCAGATCCTAAGGAGACTGAGAAGTGGGGCAGCTGGGACACGAACTTGTGCCCAAATGGGATGGCACTGGCTAGCTTGTTATATTATTGCACTGGCCCATCCTTATTTTCTTTCAAATTACAACTGTTCGTGGAGGAACAATTAGCATACATATTTAGTGTGCCAGTTGGTTAGTCTCAGCATATTTAGGGATCAACCATAGTAATGTTTTCACTTGCTGATAGATTTTGGGCTGTTTCCAGTTTTGATTTCTTAACAGTAACATGGCCAGGCACCTCTGTGACTAGTTCTGGTTATGTAAACAGCCCTCGTACAAACATGCATTTTCCCTCCTCCTAGGTAAATTTTTACAACTGTCATGGTTGGGTCATATAGTAGGTTTATGGCTATTTTTAAAGATTTATCTGAAAGGTAAAGTTATACAGAGCGAGCTTCCATCCACAGGTTCACTCCACAAATGAACACAACGGCCAGGGCTGGGCCAGGGCTGGGCCAGGCCAAAGCCAGAATCCAGGAGCTCCTTCTGCATCTAGCCACATGGGTGCAGGGGCCTAAGCACTTGGAACATCCTCTGCTGATTTCCCAGGTGTAGTAGCAGCGAGCTGGATTGGAAGTGAAGCATCCAGGACTCCAATGGGTACTCACACGGGATGCTGGTGTCACAGATGGCAGCTAAACCCACTGTGCCGAAGTGTTTTCCTAGGTGACTGTATCATTATTCACTTCCAGCAGCAGTGTGGTCATCACAGCCAGCTGGGGTCAGTCTTTTTCGCTTCAAGCCATTCTAGTATGTGAGTAGTGATACTTCCTTGTGGCCTTGATTTACATTTCCTTAATGACTCATGATGTTAAGTTTTTCTCTTTGCAAATTTTCAAAGTTTACTTGAGAGGCAAGGACACATTCTTTCCAGATTGTTGTCATTCCTGTTTCTGCTGTGCAAGGGCTTATGTCTGTTGCACAGTTGTATGTTGCTCTGTTTTTATTTAAACATGAATTCTCACGCACGTGTATATTAGATGTCTTTCATCAGATAAGATGATTTGCAAATATTCTTTCAGCCCCAGGTTCATTGTTTCTTTCCCTAATAGTGTCTTTAAAGGAATGAAAAACCTATCATTTTATTAAGTCCAATTTAATAATTTGTGTGAACTATAATAGTTAAATCGATATCTAAGAAAATTTTTGCCTAACCCAAGATCCAAAAGTGTTTCTTCAATGCTTTCTTCTAGAAGTTTAGGTTTTCCAGTTGGCTATGTGATCCGAGACTGTTTTTCTTGCTCATAACACTCAGCATAAAGCTTCCCTAGCAGAGCCCCACCGGGTGCCCCCTAACCTCAGCAAGTCTGCCTTGAGACGTCATTAGGTGTTACAGGGCCAGAGCTTGATCCTGCAAGACTATACCCACTTTAGATGTCACCCTCCAAGCATTGCTGTGTGTCAGCCACCTGGAAGCGCCTCAAACTCAGCCTTTTTTTTTTAAGATTTATTTATTTTCATTGCAAAGTTAGATATACAGAGAGGAGGAGAGACAGAGAGGAAGATCTTCCATTGAATGATTGACTCCCCAAGTGAGCGCAATAGCCGGAGCTGAGCCGATCCAAAGCCAGAAGCCAGGAGCCAGGAGCCAGGAGCCAGGAGTTCCTCTGGATCTCCCACACAAGTGCAGGATCCCAAGGCTTTGGACCATTCTAGATTGCTTTCCCAGGTCACAAGTATGGAGCTAGAAGGGAAGCAGGGTTGCCAGGGTTAGAAGCAGCACCCATATGTGATCCTGAGGCATTCAAAGTGAGGGTTTTAACCGCTAGGCCTCCATGCCAGGCCCTCAAATCCAGTCTTTTTTTGAGCACAGTTGGTTAGATCACAGGCCACTGTGAATCACCTCTACCTTCTGTCCCTCTCCCTTCCCTGGGTCCCAACAGGTCTTGGACTCCCTGGCCACCAGCTCCCCTCCTGGAGCACCCTAGAACCACAGCAACCCAGAAAATACAGTCCTCACTCCAGAGATCCTAAGGGTTTTAGAAGTTGTGTGCCAGGAAACAGGCTGAAGACTAAATCTATTTCAGAATATCACAGATTCATTTTCAGTTTATTTTTCAAACAGGCTTCAAGTCGCTGATCACAGTTCATTTTATGTGTATGAATATTCATTAGTACTGCACAGCCAGATGCTAAGACTGCTCTTTCCCACGCATTGTGCCATTGCTGACACTCAGTTGGATGAAAGCTAATCCTCTGCCCTGTGGTACCAGCATTTCCTGAGTCAATATATGTCCTGGCTGCTCCAGTTCCCTGCTTATGGCCTGGGAAAGGAGCAGAGGATGGCCAAGCTCATGGGACCCTGCACCCACATAGAACAATCAAGAGTAGTTCTGGGTTCCCAGCCTCAGATCATCTCTGCTCTGGCCATTGTGGCCATCTGGAGAGTGAATCAGCAAATAGAAGATTTTTTATCTCTCTTCTCTGTAAAATGTATCTTTCAAATAAAAATAAATCTTTAGAGGCAGGCAGGAAGAAAGAAAATCAATTAGCCTGGGGCTGGTGTTATGGCACAGTGGGTTAAGCTGTGGCCAGCTTGGAATCCAGGCTACCCCACCTTAGCTCCTTGTTAATGTACCTGGGAAAGCAATAGAGGATGGCCCAAGTGTTTGGGCCCCTACCACTCACATGGGAGACCTAGATGAAGTTCTTAGTCCTGCTTTAGCGTGGCCCAGCCCTCGCTATTGCAACCGTTAGGGGAATAAAGCCACAGATAGATTTTTTTCCTTCCTCTCTCTCTATATATATAAACCTGCCTTTCAAATAAGTAAATTAGTCTAGATGAAGAAGGAAGAGGAGAAAAAGAAGAGAAAGAAAGAAAGGAAAACAAAAGGGAAGAAAAATGAAAATCAGTTTTCCGTGTATGCATGAGCCCATTTTGGAAGCCTACTTTGTACTTCTGACCTTTCATCCTCCCTACCAATGACAATTCCTAATTCCTAAATATGAGACAATATTAGTTGCCTAATTTTGTCCTTTTTTTTCTTTATTGCCAAGTTCATCTGGCTACTTTATATCACCTGCATTGCCACAGAGACCTTATCATCAGCCTGCCAACTTCCACTTAAAAAAGTCCCGAGTGTCTGACCAGCATTGTGCTGAATCTACAAAGACCTTCATATATGTCACGTGCAGCATGAAAAAATGAGGCACGTATTTCAAAACCGTTTTGCAATCTAGATGATCTGTATGTGAATAAAAAGCATTTTACTTCCTCCAAGAGAGTGATTCTATGAGACAGTCACGCTCTGAGAAAGTGCGGGAAGTATCTTCAGCATTGTGGCTGGGTCTGCCGGAATCCAGTTCCAGCCAAGTTTGGAACTCAAGAAGGGTGTGTGGAGTAGGCGTAGAGGGAAAAAACAAGGACCACTGCAATTTCAGGATCATAATAGACAATGCAAGAAAGCTGTCTCCTTTGTTTATACAGAAGCAGTCACAAGCTCTGGAACAGACTTTTTACGTCATGGTCAAGTGGGTGTTTTCCAAGGATAATTCTGCCCTTTGTTTCACCTTAAAGCTCTCTATAAAAGTTCTCAACAGACGCTGCATATCAATCAGTATCACATTCCTACTACAATCCTCATTCTACAATTTAAATCAGTTAAGGGAGGAAATACATCACAAACGGGAGAACCTAAAGATCAAGGATGGTCAAATGGGGGCAGCAGAGACCAAGACAGCATGAATTTAAATGTCCGTTTGGCAAAACTTGTCAGCAACACCAACTTCCAAGCTCTCATTGATAGTAAAATCCAACTCAGCAGCATCAACCAACGCCTGAATAGATTGGAGAATTCTCAGCAGGGTGGTCCGGTGTCCACGCAAAGGGAGGTGGAACTGCCTTTGGGGGTTGCAGAGACATCCACAGGCCCTGCCACGCAGTGGGAAATTCCTTGCAGCCTTGCCTGCAATGGAACAGTTCTCTTCACACCTTCGTGTCTCCCACATCCACTACAGGGACCCCAGCAGTTCCCCCAGTTTCTTCTGCTCTAGGGACAGCCCAGTTCCCCCATCCCACTCAATGTCTCATTGACAGTAAGCAGCCAGGCCTGGGCTGCCTCTGGAGTACAACCCACTGCTCTCAAGGCCTGGGCGCAGCCAGGAACCGGTAGTCTCCTCATCGCATCAAGCCCTGCTGAGCTCCCAGTAGCATGCTGGGGTGGCATCCCAAAGCTGCCCCATGATAGATGCCATTCCCTCCCCCTACACCACCGCGTGCTCCCTTCTTTTGTTGGCCTGTCAGGAAGGAGCCAAGCACTCTGGCTTTAGAGAAGGGGTTTCCAAGGATCCCGACCACTTTCCAGCCTCGGTCCCTCGGCTCCCTGGCTTCCACCGTCATGCCTTTGATTGGTTTGGATTCTCTGGAAAACGAATGTCTTAGGACAAAAGAAACCCAACACCAGCTGTCCCCACAGACACTGTGACCTCTGGTCCATGATTCAGCAAAGGTGACCCCGCCCTCGCCTCTCCTAGCTCCTTGGCAATCTCGTGCGTCATTCTCCAAGGTTCCCTGCTCCCACCCTCCTCCCACGGCCATCTTTATCTTCAGGCTTCCAGACACTGTGGTTGCTGCTGACTGTCGTCCACACATGGTCTTAAAAGGGTCGGATCTGAGTTGTAATCCACAACTGGATAGCACCTCCAATGCGTATCAGGTGTAAGTCTTTCCCTTTAAAGAGAGAGAGAGAGAAAAAAAAAAGTGGGAATGGGCTCCACAGCCCTGAAGGGGCACCCACAGGGGCAAGCAGGAGATATTCACAGGTAATATTTCAAAAGGGCCCCTGGGTCAGATGAAAGACCAGAACTGAAGACCTCCAAGCCTTCCCAATGAATTAGACTGATCGGAGAGCTTTCTCTTTTGGAGTTGGTTCCTCTTCACAGAGCATCTGAATTAGTTTATAAGAATAAGAGGTCAGCATTGTGGATAAAACCACTACCTGTGACACCAGCAACCCACATGGGTACCAGTTTGAGTCCAGGCTGCTCTGCTTCCAGTTAGCTCCATGCCAAAGTGCCAGGGAAAGCAGCGGAGGCTTTTGGACACCTGCAACCTATGTGGGAGACTCAGAGGAAGCTTTTGACTTTGGCCTAGCCCAGCACTGACTGTTGTGGCTAGCTCCCCAAATATTTGTCCAAGAAAGCAGGGAAGGAGGGAGCGGATGGGAGGGCTCACCAGGGTAAAAAGGGTCTTTCCTACCTGCCAGTGGATCATCCAGTCCCTGAGTCTTCTGCTCTCCATCCCCTCTGCCCTGCCCTGGCCCAGAGCCTCAGCATGCACGTGGACCATTAAGACAGTCCCTTGTCTTTACCCCAACCTGCCCTGCAGTGCCACAGAGCAAGTTTTTAAAACACAAAAAATCTTTTCCTTTAGATTCTCCTGTTTATCTGGGAGAAAAACCTCTGTAAAACACAAAACTTGATCAAGGACTTGTGTCTAGAATATACGAAGATCTTTCAAAACTTATCATGTAAAAATAAACAATCCACATTTTCAAAAGGTGTAGTCACCAAAGAGGAGACATAAAGAAGATGTGCAAAAGGGCTCCACATCTTGACCTTGGAGAAGTGCAAACGCAAATAATAGTGAAATGCATTCTAACAGGAGGCTGAGAGCCTGGTGCCGTTACTCATGAGCTAAGCCACTGCCTACAATGCCAGCACTCCATCTGAATGCTGGTTTGATTCCTAGCTGCTCTACTTCCAATCCAGCTTCCTGCTAATGCGCCTGGAAAAGCAGTGGAGGATGGCCCAAACCCTTGGGTTCTTGTCACTCACACGGGAGGACCAGGATGGAGTTCCAGGCTTCTGGCTGGCATACTCCTGACTGCTGGAAAGTGACCCAGCAGATGGAAGATCACCACTCCACCTTATTTTAAAGAAGAAGAAGAAGAAGATACTAACCCAAGAAAACCAATTTCTCTTTATCTATCTCTCTCTGTAACCATGCCTTTCTTTCTTAAAAAAAGAAAAGAAAAAAAGAGAGAGTCAGATATACAAGAGAAGGAGGAGAGACAGAGAGAAAAATCTTCCATTCAATGATTCTCCCCAAGTATCACAATGGCCAGAGCTAAGCCAATCCGAAGCCAGGAGCCAGGAGCTTCTTCCAGGTCTCCCACATAGGTGCAAGGGTCCCAAAGCCCTGGGTCACCATCGGCTGCTTTCCCAGGCCAGAGGCAGGGAGCTGGTTGGGAAGCAGGGCTGCCGGAACACGAACCGGTTGCCCATATAGGATCCTGATGCATCCAAGGAGAGGACTTTAGCCACTAGGCTACTGCACCTTTCTAACTGAAGAAAACAAATACCAAATCCTGGCAAGGATGTAGGGCTGTTACACTCCCATACTTTGCTTGCAGAAATGGCTAGCAAGAGTGTGAGCCATTTCAAAACCAGTTGGCAGTGTCTTATTATAGCTCCTCTTACCAAATGGCCTAGAAATTCTACTCGTATATAATTACCCAAGAGAAATGATAACATAGGTCAATACTGATAGGAACTATAATAAATATTGTCCTCGCTGGAAACAATCTAAACGTCCCGAATGTGAGGACAGATAAACGGTGGCACACTCCTGCGACAGGCTGCAAGTTGGAGCTGAGAAGCTATGGCACTGACTCTCAGGTGTATCCTGCAACAGGACAGAAGCCTGACATCCCATAGGGAGGACTGTGTGGCCCCCTGGGATGGCCAAGGTGGAGGCGTGCTGGAGGGACCAGGAGCCATGGGGGAGGAGGTGGGAGGCGGCACTGACGACAGTTAGCAGGACACATTCTGAGGGGCAGTGACAGTCACCACTGTGCTGGTGGTGACCGCACAGCTACGTGCTTTTGTCAAAACTTAGATCCCTGGAGCTGGCACTATGGCACTGTAGGTAAACCTGCCACTGAGGGCACCAGCATCAATACGGGCATCAGTTTAAGTACCCCACTGTTCCACTTCTGACCCAGCTCCCTGCTAATCTGCCCAAGTGCACTTATATGGGAGACCATAAAGAAGCTCCTGGTTCCTGGCTTTGGATCAGTTCAGTTCTGCACATTGAGGCCATTTGGAGGAGTGGAACACCAAATTGAAGATCTCTTTCTCTCTCTCTCTCTCTCTCTCTCTCTCACCATAACTATGCTTTTCAAATAAATAAATCTTGGGGCTGGTGTGGTGGCATAGCAAGCTAATCCTCCACCTGCAATGTCAGTATCCCACATGGGTACCAGTTTGAGTCTGTTGCTCCCCTTCTAACTTAGCTCCCTGTTTATGGCCTAGGAAAGCAGCAAATAATGGCCCAATGCCTTGAAACTCTGCACCCATGCGGGAGACCCAAAAGAAGCTCCTGGCTTCCAGCTTCAGACTGGTCCAACTCTGGCAATCACAATCATTTGGGGAGTTATCTAGCTGATGGAAGATCTCGCGCTCTCTGTCTTTTCTTTTCTCTATATACATCGTTCAAGTAAACTAATTAGAGAAACAAATCTGTTCAAAAAAACACTTAAATCCCTTTAAAAAGGATAAATTTTATATGTAAATTACATTTTTTTTACTTAAAAAAATTTCCTGGGCCCAGTGCAGTAGCCTAGCACCTGAAGTCCTTGCCTTGCACACGCCAGGATCCCATATGGATGCATGTTCTAACTCCAGCAATCCTGCTTCCCATCCAGTTCCCTGCTTGTGGCCTGAGAAAGCAGTTGATGAGGCCCAGGGCTTTGGGACCCTGCACCCATGTGGGAGATCTGGAAGAAGCTCCTGGCTCTGGCTTAGGATCAACTCAGCTCCGGCCATTGTGGCCACTTGAGGAGTGAATCAACACACAAAAGATCTTCCTCTTTGCGTATCTGACTTTCAAAAAAACAAAAAAATAAATCTTAAAAAAAAATTCCCTTGACCTTTTATCTACAGGAAGGCTGCCAGCAGCTCAGCCTGGTGGTCAAGGTCTCCAAGCACAGCTCTATCCTGCCTTGTCCTGCATACTGGCCGCTGTTCCCCTGCACGCAAGGCACACGTCACCTAAAGTGAACACATCCTCAGTGCCTTCGCTCCCTCCTTTGGCTCGTGTGCCCCTCCCTCTGCCTTGACTGCTCTCTCCCCTCTGGAACAAGCGACCCTTTGTGGAAAAAAACACAGCTTGGAGCCAGCCGCACCAGGAACACCGCTGCAAGACCCACACAGGACACCCGAATCAGTCGTCTCTGCCATGGGACGTCAAAGCTACTCCCCACGAGTGGTCTACTCTCTGGCCCTGCAGCCTGGGCCAGCCTTGTTTCTTGCTGTGGCCAACAGAAGGTGCTAGAAGTTATAATGTGGCATTTTGAGCCTGGGCAGCAAAAGGCCTGCACATTTCCTTGCTCAAACTCGGTATCCTCTGTGAGAACACGCTACAGGACAGGATCTGCTTCCAAGACCATCCCAGACCTGTTGGCCTCCCACCTGACCTGCTGATCCATCCATGGCTGTTGCTGGCAGCCCCTCACCAGACAGCAACAGCTGAATTACCAACTCACTGCCTTATCTGGGTAATAATGATAACATCTATCTCAATGGGCAATGGCAATGGTGTTCAGAGTGGAGGACAGAGTCCAACACACAATCAACCCCTAATGAGTGCTATTCTTGCCTTTGCAAGCCCGACTCAGATTCCCTTGTCTGACAGCCAGTTCGAATGCCACTGCTCCTAAGCCGTGCTCCCTGAATCTCCAAACTGGGTGGAATCTGACCTCCTCTGACCTGCTCTACTACACTCTGATCCACTCTCTCCTCAGACATCTGCCCTCTGCAAACCCAGATATGCATTCAATGTAGGTGTGTCCAGAGCAGGTGCAGCCTCCGAGTTAGGGAAAAGTGAAGTGATTTGTGCAGACCTCAGACACGACAGCCGTCTCCCTCTGGCCTCCACACGTGGAGCATGCACGTGGCTGACTCTCAGCTAAACTGGGGGGTGGGGGGAGGTGCTTGCCCTCCTAGGAAGCAGTGACAGCACGCAGCAGTTTGGGAGTTGTGAATTGTGTGGGTGCCAGGGGTGGGCACCAGAAATGCTGAACATGCCACGATGGAGCCTTAGAAAGCCCTGCTGGGATAGGTTGGCCAAGGAAAAAGAGAAGAGAAGGGGCTTTCTTTCCAACATACCCCACCCTGCAAGACAGATTTCACTGTTGCTATTCCACCACTGAGAAAAGAGAGTCTTGTGTTAAGAGCTCACACTGGCACCTGTGTCCTATTTTGACATTCAAGAGCTTGTCCCAGGATTTCCACAGGGCCCTGCATGGGGAGCCATCCCAGCTGCCCCGAAGGAAACCATGGGGCGAACTGAACTGAACAGGGCAGGGTCCAGGCTGCCTTTGGACCCTGGGGCTGTCAATGCTGAGCATACCTGGGGACAAAGGCATTACTGAAGGAAGTCAGGGGATGTCACAGCAGTGGGTAAGCAACACAACACCAGTCACCCTCTCGTCAGGCTGGGACTCCTTTTCTCGGAGTTTCACAACCAACCTTGGAGGGTTCCTGACCTGATCAACTGCTAATCTGGACCTAAGAAGCCAAAGGTGAACCCCACCCTGCCTGGATGCCTTCCAAGCAGCTCTTCCCAGAGAGTCCTCCCACATGCAGCCGAGAAAAGCTGCCTAGCGCCTGAATTCGCCCGACTGAATGAGCCAGCCCAAGGCCAGGCTGCTACCTCGAGACTGCCCACTCCTGACTCACCTTGTTCAATTCTCCATACTCTCCACCTTCCAACTCTCCACATCCCACAGGGCCACACCTACACAGCCCAGCCTTGTTCATGCCTCCTCCCCCAAGCTGTTCGATGTCCTCCATTCCTCTACCCTGTTCTCCAACTCTCTCACAGCACCCACCTGAACCCTCTGCCTCCCTCCCCTGTGCCTCAAGGACCTATGGCCCTCTGGACAACTCCTACACCCTCTACTGCATCCAAGGGCAGTGTCCCTCCCTGCACGGGCTCAGGGGGAGGCCTGACCACCTCTCCAGGCCACGGAAAGAGTATGTGCCACCACCTCAGAGTGAAGCCTCACTCCTTTCTCATATGTCAGCTCTGGAATGCGTTCAAATCTCCACCCCCACACTCTGCCACCAAAAATACAGGAAGAAAAAAAGAAAGCAGCAGAAAAACTAAAACATGGCCTTCAGTCCCTGCTTGGCACCATGCTGTCGCTATGACAACACCAGCTGGATAAGTTGCACAGGGAATGGGAGAGGTGGGGAGCACAGGAGGAGGAGAGGGACTCCATGTGCTGAGCTTCCTAGGAGCCCCCTCTCTCCTGCCCCAGCTTCCAAATCTCTCACCAGAGCAGCATGCACTAAAGGCTGGAGGTAAGTGATACCAAGAGATGGGGTTGTGAAAGCCAGCTCTGCCTTGGCCTTCCCTCTGGGCCTCATCTTCCAGAAAGCTCCTGAGAAAGTGCTGTTCAGAGGGAGAGAAAGTCTGGGTCCCAGGTCCCCTCCTGGGGAAGTGGGTGAGGGCCCCATCTGCAGCTGAAAGACATGGGGGGGGTGGTTGTGGAGAGGTGCGGGGAGGGAGGTGGGGAGAGGGCTGTCCCTCCTCCTCTCCCATGTCCCAAGGGCCAGCAGAAGGCCCCATGCAGAAACTTTCCTTTTCTCCACTGAAAACGAGGGTGCTGCCTAACCTTTAGAGCAATCACAGGTGGTAAGAACAGGTAAAGTGGCCACAGGCACTGAAAATACACTCCATGAGTCTATGGAGTTATTATCATTACAGATGGGGTAGTTGTTTCTCCTCTCTTCTGGACAAGGAATATTTTCACTGTAAAGCAAAAAAAAAAAAAAAAATTACAGATTAATGGCTATCATTTCCTTTGAAATCTACAGGTGGCTAGAGGGATGGTTAGATAGAAAGGTACATCACAAAGCAAGAGAAGAAGGGGAAATACAACCTAGTCAGGACTATACAGGTGCGTATTGAAACATCTTCCAGTTTTGTTGCATCTTTCAAAACATTCATAATAGAAAAAAAGAAAGGAAGAAAACAAAAAAGGGAAAAGACATCGAGAAAATGGGGGATACAGAATTCAAAACACTTGTTATAAAACTTCTTATCAACAATGAGAAGCACATAAAGAAGGCATTCAAGGAATTTAAGGAACATGTCACACTGGAAATGAATCAAATGAAAACTGATCTATCAGAAATGAAGAACACAGTGGAGAAAATGAGAAGTATAGTGGAGAGTCCCCCAAATAGGATGAAGCAAGCAGAAGAAAGAATCTCAAAATTATAGAAGGTATTTCCTGCCACAGGGGGAAACAAACAAAAAGCTGGAAGCAGAGCTGGATCGGGCCAAAAAAAGTGCTCAAGAATTGAAAGACACTATTAAAAGGTCAAACATAAGAGTTATGGGAGTCGCATAAGATGCAGAAAGAGAAGCTGGGTTTACAAATGTATTTAATGAAATAATTAGGGAAAATTTACCTTATCTAGAGAAAGAATTGGGAAACAACATCCAGGAGGGGCACAGATCACCCAACAGGGTTCACCAAAAGCAATCTTCACCAAGACACATGATCATCAAGCTCTCTTCAATCAAACATAAGGAAAAGATCCTTAAATGTGCATATGGAAAAAAAAAATCAACTGACATATAAAGGAATGCCAGTTAAATTCACAGGAGACCTCTCACAGGAAACTCTACAGGCAAGAAGAGAATGGAGCGACATATTCCAGATTCTAAAAGCAAAAAATTGTTGGCCCAGGATAGTGTGCTCAGCAAAACTTTCCTTTGTCTTTGAAAATGAAATAAAATTCTTCCACAGTAAAGAAAAGTTAAAAGAATATGCCTCTTGCAAACCTGCCCTACAAATGACACTTAAAGATGTTCTCTTGACAGAGAAAAGGAATAGTGCCCACCAAAACCAAAGGTAAATGAGAACATCCCAGTAAAATGACAACAGAAAACTAAATCAATGAACAACCCATTGCTAAAATGACAGAATCAAATTGCTGTCTATTTGTATTAACCCTGAATGTAAATGGCTTAAACTCATCAATCAAACATCATAGATTAGAAGACTGACTTAAAAAACAAAACCCATCTATTTGTTGCCTACAGGAGACACATCTCACTAACAAAGGTGAGCGGAAACTGTATCTCATGGATTTTGATTTTTTTTTGTTAGTTTTATATCTTCAAAACACTTTCTTCTGATTAAATCATTCAATGACTCATAGATCATACAGAAGCATCATTTTCTTTAAGAAGATTCTTGATTTTCTTTTTCATTTCTTCAGCGACACATTAGCCATTCAGTAGCATGTTTTTTAACTTCATGGTGTTTTTAATTTCTTTTTTATTTTTCCTGTTGTTTGTTTTGTGGCTTTTCATTTAAGGAGACGTATAGTAACTGTGTAATAGAGACTATCATATCTAGCAGCACGTTATTTAACTTCATGGCATTAAAAATTTTTATTTTTCTTCCTGTTGTTGATTTTGTATGGTGAATTTGTATGGTAAATTTTTTCATTTAAGGGGAGTATAGTAACTGTTAATGGAGACTATGATATCCAGATCTGAGGATATAATGCAGTATGCATCTCTACTTTCAGACAAAAATGGACTCTCAATGAAACTGTTTACTATATTTTGACAGTAAGAGTCTGGACTCTGCCATTGTCCATGCCTGCAATGATGGACATATGACTGTGTATGAAGAACTATACTATAGTAATGATATAGGGGAACTCAGTGAGCGGGGAGGGAATTGGGGAGGGGATAAAGGAAATCCAAGGGCCTATGGGACTGTATCATAAAATGATAATACTAAAAAAGTCAAAATTTTTTTAAAAAAGAGAAATTTCAGAATATTAAGAAGAAAGAAGATCTGGAAGCTTCCAGAAAGGAAAATGCAGGTCAAGTGCAGAGGACAAAAAACCAGAATGTATCAAGTCCCTCAAAGAGCAAACCAGAGGCCAGGATACAAGGGGGGGAGGCCTGCAAAGCTCCTGGGGGGAAATGAGTTCCAACTGGACTTTCACATCCAGCCAGACTATTGTGCTGAAGTGCAGGCAGAAAAAGTACAAACACACATAGAGGTGTGCAGTCGGTCCAAACTGACATCCCACTGCCCTGTCTCAGGAATCCACCACCACAGGAAGCCAATCAAGAATGATGAAGGCATGGGATGACACCGACATAAATAAGATACATTTTATCATTGCATTGTAAAGCTGACTTACCTCTGAGTTTGGGCCTCCTGATCTTGCATGAGTAAGACAAGAACAGAGTAAAACAATTCTAAAGTGCATGCTTATCCATACTTTAACATTTCTGAAGTTGCGAGCAGGTTGCCATTGGTGGCTTCTTGGGTACCAGAATATGGCCGCAACAGGCATTTGCAAGCTGCTCAGCATTCCCGTGCTTTGCCATGCTGCAGATTCACAGCAACTTCCTCCATCCCTACCAGGAGCCCCAACAAACAGATTCCCTGTGGCCCAGCTTGCACGGGCTGCAGGCGCATGATGGTGCCTTCTCCTTCCCAACAGTCTCAGATCATAAATAAGACTCAGGAAAGCTAAGCACCCCCACCTCACACAGCTAGTCAGTGGCATGGCTGGGATCTGAACTTGGGCAGCTCTCCTGTTTGTCTGGGATTTGCTGGCAGCAGCTGATCTCCCCAAGGCACCAAAAACCTGGGAAACCCCAGCCTGTCCCAGACCAAGCCTTTCCCCACCCTTGCCCCCCACTCCATGGGGGGAGGGGGTCACTCCCAGCACTCACTGCAAGAACCTGTCCCGGGCTAGGTCCGAGAGGTAGCGCTTGCAAACACCCATGTACAAGGACCGATAGCGCTTCCTTCTGTCCTTGGTCTCCGACAGCCTGGTGTTGAAGTAGCGGCCCACGCCTACGGGATTCTGCACCCAGGAGAGGAAGACGGCAGCATGTCAGCCAGTCTGGCAGGTATCAGGATCATAGGCCTGCCTCACACCCCTCCCTCTTCCACCTGTCCCAGAGTGAATGGTGTACCCCAAAAGATACAGTGAGGTCCTAACCCAAGAACCTCAAACTGTAATCTGATTTGGCAATACAGCACTTGATGCTATAATTAGCTAACTGGAGTTGGTGAAACCTAGATCCACTGTGAGTGGAGTTGGGGGCAGGGAGAAGAGGAAGCAGGCTCCCAGGCTGAAGGGATGAACACATGGCCTTCCTGAACCCCAACACTCTCATCAGCCCTTTCTCTCTTGAAGATGGCCGGGCCTGTGGAAGCAACACAGGCACTTGGTCTTTCTAAATATTTTACTTGGGGTCCCTGCATGAAGACCCCCTCCTTGCAGGATTGCAGGGCTGCAGGCTGGAGGGGAGGAAGGGAAGGCCTGGGGACCTGGCCAACTAGTCAGCAGCAGAAGAATCCAGTGGGGCTGGCACGCTGGGGGCTTCTCGCACGAGGGGAGGAGAGGTGATGGAGTAAGTGGCAGTGCTCAGGTGCAGGTGAGGGATGGGGCAATGGGAGGCAGCAGAACAGGAAGGCAGGCAAGAGATACACTAAAGGACCCAGGGTGACCAGGAGGGGCCTGCAATGTAGAAGGCTGTTCTAACCAGACAACACTAACTGATGCTGGTTGCGGGGATGGGGCTGGGGATCCTGGATATGGAAAACATTCCTGAATGCTCTGTGGTTGGGGCAGGGCACACAGGCACACAGATGAAGTTACTTTGTGTCAATCATGGAGCTGTTCACTCCAGTGCACGTTTCTTTTTCTTTATTAGAGTCCAGGAACAGGTGGATTTGATGGCATTGGCACTGCTGCTCAGCAGGTTAAGCGCTCAGCATTCCATAGGAGTGCCAGTTTGAATCCTGGTTGCTCCACTTCCAATCTGGCACCCTGCTAATGCACCTGGGAAAGCAGTAGGGGATGACTCAAGTGTATGAGTCCCTGCCACCCACATGCGAGACCCAGATGGAAGTCCTTGACCTGTGCCAGGCCCAGCCTCGGCTGTTGTGACAATCTGGGGAGTATACCAGTGGATGGGAGATTTCTCTGTCTCCATCTCTCCCTTTATAACTCTGCTCAGCAAGGTCAATGTCCAAAGTTACTGTGTATATGGGCACCGGTTCTAATCCCAGCAGCTCCACTTCCCATCCAGCTCCCTGCTTGTGGCCTGGGAAGGCGGTCGAGGATGGCCCAAGGCTTTGGGACCCTGCACCCGTGTGGGTTACCCAAAGTAACTGTGTAAGTTAAGGAGGTAGAGTCACAAAGCCCAAGGGCTTACCTGTGTGTCGAGCCACCCCCCGCCCCCGCCCCTACCCCGCAGAGTCCAGCAAGCTGTGTTCTACGCAACCCTGCAGTGACAGGCACACCTGGCTCAAGTGTGAGAACCCAAACCTTAGAGAAACAAGGTGGTAGGTGTGGGCATCAGGTCCCTTGGGACTCAGAGCAGTTATCGGGATGCAAGGTGGGTCTGAGTATTCCCTGCCACCCTCCACCAGCCTCCCCAAAGCACCTGGTAGGTCTTGATGCCGGTGCGCTTAGAGGCCAAGAAGAAGGGGGACAGGCCCATGTGTTGACACTTCTTCTCCTGCGGAAGCCACATGCCAGGCCCAGATGTTGCCTGGGGGTAGGGGAGGAAGGCTGAGCTGGACAGGACCTGACAGGGGTCTGTCTGAACCAAGGCAGGTAAAGAGTCCTGGCACCCAGCTACCCTTTGAAGCAAGACCCATGGGAGGTAGCCAGCCAGGCCACATGGGGCACTCCTGACCCTTTTTGGGCACTCCATCCCCTCATCATGATGCTCTGGGCATAAGCAGGCATATGTTGTGGAGGGCTGACCCCTTAAGTCACACTCTACCATGCCTCAGTTTGCTGGAGCCCCTCAGTCGCCAGGGCTCTGAGGTAAGGGTGCAGCCAAGCACCCTGGGGCCTGAGCTGTAGGCTCATCTGTTCCTAGCATGACCTTACTGGCCTCCTGTGAAGACTGGGGAATGACAGTGATCCGGGGAGGGCATGAGGAAGCCTGGAAATGGGATGCTCCCTGCCAAATAACCCTAGCCCCACCCACAGAGGGCCACCTGCCCAGAAATGCCGAGTCCTCCTCCCTGACCCTCCCGGAGTAGGGGGCTGCACACGGACCAGCTTCCGGGGACACTGGCTGAGAGTGGACCAGTAGATCCTCTCCGTGGGCGTCTCCGGATTGCGGGGAAGTTTCGAGAAGACTCCATGATATTTGTGATGCCGGGAGTTGAGTTCTTCCACGAAGCTCTTGAAACCCATCAGTTCTGTGGTCTTTTTCTTCTGAGTAAGGACGGTGAGGAGAGGGAGGGTTGGTTTGACTGCGAGCCAGTGTCATTCACCCCCTCTGCCCATTTCACTACAAGAGGTCAGGCGGGGTCACCTACCCCAGTCGGCCATCCCCTTGGAGTACTGCGCATGTTCCACAGCAGTGCGGGCGAGGGCAGCACAGAGAACCCCCAGGGCCACAGTACTGCTCTGTGTGACACCACACCAAGCCCATAGATTGGGAGCCATCAAGACCGACAATGGCCTCGGCACAGGGACCTAGGCCACCAGGGCTCAGCCACTCTGGGGCGGGGTGTGGAAGGTGGTTGGGAGGAGGCCGGGATATAACAGAGTTACTTCTCCCTTCAGCTGTGTTGTGAACCATCAGAGCAGCCAGACCCAGCAGCCGGCTCTGGTGCAAGGAGGTGGCCTTGGGCTCCAGCCCCACTTCCCCTGCCCTCCTCCTCTAACCCAGAGAGGAGCAGCAGCCTGCCGTGAGCAGAATGGGTGGTGTCTCTGGCCTCTGGCGTTGATTTAGCAAGACCTGGTCGTCGGGCTGGCGCGCACCTGCACCGAGTAATGTCCAAAAGGCAGGGGATCACTTCGTTCACCCGAGAAGATGTCGTAGGGCCCACGGGTGCCGCTGGAATGTGCCACATATGTGTCGATGCTGCTTTTAAGATTGTAGGTGCCGGGGCCCAGTCCACTGCCCTGTGTGGGGAGTCAGGGAGGGAAGGCACAATAGAGGCACTCAAGGTTCCAACCTCCCCATAGCTCCCCCTCCTGCCGAGACCTGGGGTTGCGGGGAGCACCCTCCAGGACCTTGTGGGCTGGGTCAGCTCCATACCTGGTGAGCCAAGGAGGATGGCTTGTTGCTCATCCTACACAGGAGGCCCTCAGCATGGGACCGGTTCCAGGCGTTCTCCTCCAGCCGTGTGTAAGGATTGCCCTTTTCCCCATAATTCCCAGGACCTGGGTAGTAGTTCTGCCGAGTGGGAAAGGGGCTGAGTGCATCCCAAGAAGAAGCACTTGGGCCCCCCACTCTGCAAAGAGTCAGAATTTTCAGGTACCCAAGTGATACCCCACCTCACCCAACACACAGCATTGATGCCCTGGAACCTTGTGGGTTGCACATTCCCTCTGCGCCCCACCTCCACCCACCCTGGTCAGTCTGACCCCCACCTTCTCATATCCTGCAAAACACCAGCTCGTTGCTGCTGCCCCAACCTGTGCAACTCTGCCCATTTCACAGCCCCAGCTAGCTCACAGTATGCTCCCTGCTCCTGCCTATGAAACTCCACTGACCCTTGCAAAGCCAGATAAACCATCCACCAGCTCTCCTGGGAATGGCCTGCTCTGTAGCTCCAGGGGACACCTGCTTTAGTGGCCTTACCTGTCCCATCCCTTACAGTCCTGCACCCACACAAGTGCCATTCTCAGGGTGCCCTGAACAGTGCTGGATCCAAAAGGACTAGTGCCCCTGGTTCAGATCCTGGGTCTGCACCTTCCTAGCAGAGGAACCCTGGGTCTTGTGAGCCTCCCCATGTCCATAAATGACATGGGGATGAAAGCACTTTGTTCCCAGGTCAGGGGGTGACAAGGAAGCTGAATGGTGTCTGTGAAGCTCCCTGCACAGTGGCTGGTACATGGTGGGCAGCAGCACACATCTGGTGGGGTGGCGGAAGGCCTTTGCAGTCAGGAGGAGAGGCTATTGGCTGTAGCTGAAATGGCCATCTGGGGTTTGCAATGCCAGATTAGAAGTGTGTTCTTGGCAGGTGGGAAGAGGAAAGTGGCTCCACAATATAGATGGTAAGTGACTTAGCAGGATTTTTTTGCTGCTGCACTACAGCTCTTAGCCACACGGGGTCGCTGCAATTCCATAGGTGACTCAGCCAGGTCTGACTCAGTTCTCTACAATTCTGAAGGAGAAACTCCATGGGTAGGAAGCTGGATTCCTGAATAGTGCGCTGGGGTTTTAAAAGCCTGAGGATCTTGATTCTGGAGGCAACCCCATGGGGCCAAGTTGGTCCCATCTACAGTTCAGAAATGGAGAAAACTGAGTCAGAGAGGCAGCTCCTACACCTAGGTTCCCATCACTGACAAGCGGCAGCCACATGGCCCCATGTTCTGTGTGAGCCAGCGCAACCTGCCAGCCAGACACTGTCATACTCCAGATGACTGAGTAATAAGGACCCCAAGTCACAGAGACTTGGGAAAGGAGGTTCTAACAGGGGGCGGGCATGACCGTTGACCCCAGGGGGCTCAAGGGCAGTGCCAAGTCTGGTGCTAAGTGCTTGTGTCAGCATAATCCTATGTCTAACGTGAAAGCTTCAAGTTCATGGGCTGAATGCCACAGGAATCTGCAATCTCTAACAGCCTGTTATGTTGTCAGAGCTGAGCGGTGGGGAAGGGGAGGGGAGGGAGAGAGTCCAGAAGGAAACGTTGATTCAGCAAGCCAATGAGGAAGTATGGGAGGGGCAGGTTGCAACGCTGGACCTTGAAACGCAAGAAGGATCCCTCAAGATGAGGATGAGGAAGATCCCCAGGCAGATGCCAGCCTTGGGGGAGATGGGCTGGAGAGGAGACAGTCGGTGTTAGGTTTGCCTGGCTGAGCTCTGACATGAGACTCCACTCTCCACAGGAAGTCAAAAATCAAAAGCCAGGGACCTGGGGAGGGGGCAGTACAGGACACTTTGCACTCCAGTCCTGCAGCCGCCACCAGCTGCAACGTGAGCTTGGGCAGTCGCCCCTCTGTGCTCCTGCTCTCTCCTCCGTGGAGTGGACAGCACAACGGGCCTTCCTCTGGGGTTGCTGCAGGCTGGACTCCTCTGTGTGGGGGGGGGGCTGTGCCCAGCCACAGTTCACTGTCATCACTTCCAATGCGAGCATGAGGGTCTCTACCTGGGTCCCCCAAGCCCAGGCCAGAGATTGGCACTCAACAAGTGCTTCATCACGGCATCCTACCTGGCCGCCAGATACCCACAGGAAGAGTGGGCCGAACCCCTCAAAGATACTGTGCTTCTGGCCGGGAACCCAACGACCATCAGACCCATTTCTGCTGGGTCCCAGGAAAGCCGAGGGGCTGGGGTGGGAGACCCTGCAGGCCAGCCTGGCCGCAGAGGAGGAGGCAAGCAAGGAGACAGCCGTTCCTGTTGTCCCTGCGCAAAGCGCCAACGCAGAGGATGCGAGGGAGCCGCTCTGGCAGATGACCACACCTACCCCTATGAGGCCACGGAAGCGCTTCTCCCCAGAGCTAAGCAGGCCTCGAGTGCTGCCCGGCTTCTGATTCAGCAGTTGCAGGAAGTCTTTGATGTTATAGGAGCCGGGCCCCAGCTTTTGACCCTGCCCCAGGAGGAGACAGCACAGGATGAAAGCAACAACTGAGATGGGCAGGCGACCCAGCCCACCTCCCTGGCCCGCCCCTCTTCCCTGGGCCCAGCCCCAAGCGGCAGGGTGGGGACCTGGCCACCAGGCACCTCACCTGCTGCTTCTTCTCCTTCAGGATGGCCTGGTACTGGAAGTGAGGCAGCTGGGTGAGCCGTGTGGCTTCCTGGGCCCGGGCCCAGCCAGTGCCCACCTCCTTCTTCAGCTTCTTCTTGCTGAAGCAGGTCTCCTTGGAGCTGTAAGTCCCTGGGCCTATGTGGGCCTGAGTCAGAAACAAGGCAAAAGGCTGTGCTGGCCACACCAATCAGTCTACACACAGAATGTCATCACCACGCCACCACCCTGACCTGGGGTAACAAGGCAACCTCCCAGCACTGAAGCTGGCACCGGAGGGCTTGGCCATTCAAGGTACAATCCCAGGCCTGTCCCTGTCCCCAGTCCTAGGCAGGCAAGAGCCCCCAGGGCGTCTGGACAGAAGCTGAACATGAAGCCCAAACTCAGGCTGTTCTTACTGTGGTCTGGCGTGTAGCAAGAATCCTGACCCTGGGCCAAGCTCTGAGCCAGGCAAGTGGGCAGTGGGTGAGACATGAGGCACATGGCACAAGGCGCACCCCATAGTCACACAGTCGGGTGGGCAATGTGGAGGGGCAGTGGCCATACCATGCAGCAGGAGTTAGGAGCTAAGCAAACTCACCACTTCCACAGAGTGCCTCCGGGAGTACGGGGCCTCGGTGAAGGTGCTCTGCTTCTTCTGGTCTGGGTAGACAGCCGAGACATCAAACCTGGCAAGGAACAGAGGTCAAGGTGAGAACCGGCCCCCGGGCCTGACACCCAGGCCAGGCTTGGGCTGTTTCGGGCATGGAGGTGGGGAGAGTTGGTTCACAGAGAATGTGACTCTGGCCTCAGCCTTGAAGGGCAAGTGGCTTGATCTTCCAGACTTACTCCCTGCGCCCCACCCTCCTACTCCTCCTCCCAGCTAAACGCATCTCTGTAGGAGCATTGCTCCCAGTTCTGAGCCTAAAACTGTGCCTGGTGCATGGCAGGACACACACACACACACCCCTCTATGGAGAAAGGAAGGTAAACGGCTGGAGCTGACTCTGGCTGAGTGATCTGCTAAAGGTTAGAGCAGGTGACTGCTCTAAACCCTACACATAGTAGGTGCTCCCCAAATGGGTTGGGGAAGAACTTGGGGAGAGGGACAGGGTGAAGGAGAGGAAGTCCAGCCCCCTTCACTGTCAGCACCTTCCCATCCCCCACTCCCCCAGGCTCTAGTGCCCAGGGGGTGAACTCAGCCCCTTGGACTGGGGTAAAGGGGCCCGTGAGGACCAGTTTCTGTCCTGGGCCAGGAGCAAGATCGTGGCAGTCACCTGTGGCTCTGCACTCCAAAGGGCGCCCCGCTGAACCACTTGGGGGCCACTTTCGTGCCCATGGTCTGACGGGTGCGGGTGCTCAGCCTCCTCCTGTCCTCTGCTCCGCGCAAGGCGGACCTTCCTGCCCCGCCTCCTCGCCTGCCTCACTGTGTGTCGCTGCCACAGCAACCGGGGCCTTGTGATTCGCACAGATCCTCCCGGCTGCGTGGGCGCCACGTGGCGGCCCCCGACACAGTGCAGGCGCTGGCGGTGCCTCGCCTCACTCCCCCCCTGCCACTCAGTACCCTTCCAGGACCACCTTTTTGGAGATCTGCCCTTCCACAGCTGCAGGCTTGGCGGCCCTGGGTGTTCCCTACAGAGCCCTTCTTTCAGTGGCCGAACAGACTCTGGCTTCTGGCTGGATCTCCGCGTGCTTCCTCAAGGTCTGGGACAACCCAGACTTAGGAAGCATCTCTCAGCGTTCACCTGGTGCTGTTGGGAAACTGAGGCACGGAAGAGGAAATGGAGAGAGAAGGAGGTGGAGCTTGGAGCCCAGCACGCATGAAGGATTGGGGAGGACCTGCAAGAGAGGGGAGCACACCTTCACTGCTAGCCCTGCCCATGTCCCTCAGACATAATGTAGAATGTCTGGGACCCGGATGTGGCGGCTCCCCCAGTGGCCTGGTGGCCGCGGTGTGGTCATGCCATTAAGATAAGGAAGCCTCTGACCCTGTCAGATGGAGAAGGCTTATTGCAGAATTCCAAACCCAACCCTAAAACCTAGTTGTGACCTGCCAGGTGGGGACAGGAGGTGAAGGTTCACGGCTCTCACCCGCAGCAGCAGCACCCCTGCCCCCGGGAGCTATGTGAGTGTGTACAACACCCAGCCCCACTCTTCCCTTTGTTTCTACCAAGAGCTGTGGGAGGAGAGTGGGTTGAGAGAGATGTGATGTGCCCCAGGTCCCGCATCAGCCAGGGAAACCTGGGCCAGAGGAACTAAGCGCTCCACCCAGTGCCCCTGATATTGTCAGCTGACACTCATGCAGTTTTGCCAAGCCAGAGTCTCGGGCACAGGACCATGGCTGCTGGCAGTGTGTCCCCACTGCCTGACTGAGCTGGCGGTGAGAGGTGGGTCAGGCCCTGTGAATGGGCATGGAACTAATGACCCTGAGTCACTGCTGCAGCTGAGGGGCTTGGGCAGTCCATTTCTCTGCCCTCTTCGCTGTAAAGGAGGCAAGCAATCTCCACCCAAACTAGAGTGAGGATGAAGCAGCTGGCTTCCGTTAGCACCACGAGCAGAAGGCAGGAACACAGGAAGGGGCCGAGCGGGTGTTTGCCAGACCAGCCCTCACAAAGTGATCGGTTTATTCAACTGAAGGAGTCAGTAAGTCCCATACAACTTCCCAGTGACGCACAAATCCTCCAACAGACTTATTTGAATCCTGGCGTGGCTGCTCCCTAGCTGGTGGCCCTGGCCAAGCTGCAGTGCTTTGCCTGTGATTTGGACCGGTGGTGGAGGAGGAGGAGCTGTTTCCAGATGTCAGTGAGGCGTGGATGTGATGCAGTCAAGCCCTGGGCATGGGAGAGGCCTTGGCCAGCCCTGGGGCTGCTGTGGATCCTCTTGGCAGCCTCTTTACCTCCTACCCACTGCCCCAGGCCTTTTCTTCCCATTGCTTTCAGGAGTGACCAGAGCGTCCAAGTCAAGGTCCACTGGGCTGGGAGAGCTGGCTGCTGGGCAGGTTGGGCAAGGCCAGGGTGAGTCAGCTCAGCACCTGCCCGTCACAGTGACGTGCTTAGCTGGGCTGATCACCCACTCTTCCTGGTGTAACCTCCTCCCACTCCCCATGCACAGAGGAGGAAACACCTAGCTCAGGCATGGAAAGTTTACCAGCCCTGGGTCACACCTTGGATATGGGGCATGCAGCATTAGAGAGCTGCTAGATCGTAAAAACTACTGGTGGGGCTCTACAGACATGAGCTGCTCTGGCAGGCTGAGCCTACATGGTCAGGCTGTGACCTAGGTCTCCTTGCCTGCCAACTCTTCCCACTCTCGGAGCTCCTGCCACAGGGGCTACAGGCCCCTAGGACACACTGGTTCCTCCAGGGAACTGCTGGCTTTTTCATGCTTTTCCTGCTGCCCATATGCTTTTGCCCAACCATCCAGTGCTTATAATAGCCCAAGGTGGAACTCAAGTGTGCACCAAAAGGTGATGCATAAACAAAATGTGATCTGAGAATGCAATGAAATGTATACAGCCTTGAAAAGGGAAAATTGTTACATACTTCAAGAAGAATCTTAAATACATTCTTCCTAATTTTCAAAATATATTTTTTACTTTATTTGAAAGATATAGAAACAGAAGAGAGAGCTTCCATCCCCTGGTCCACACTCCAGAATGGCTGCAAGGAGCCAGGCTGGGCCAGACCCGAATCAAGACCTGGAACTCAGAGTCTCTCACATAGGTGGCAGGGACCCAAGGACTTGAGCCATTGTCAGCTGTCTCCCATGTGAGCAGGAACAGAAATGGGGGTGCTGGGACTTATACTCAGGCGCTCTAATATGGGATGGGACACCTCAAGCTGTGTCTTAACTCTGCCCCGAATACCCAGTTGATGACATCACAAAGGGAAAAAGTGAAATACAAAGAAACAAGCACCAGGCACAGGCACCGGCCGTAGTAGGGGAGAAGTCAAAGCCACAGAGAGGAGGCAGAGATATGGTCTCGGGTGCCATGAGCAGGGGCTATAGGGGTTCAGGTTCAGCAAGGTGGCATTGCCTTAAGGAGGATTTTTCTGACGATGTTTGCACACAATGTAAGTGTGATTGATGCAAGTTACTTAAATATGAATGACATGATAAATTAGTCTGTGTTAAGCTGCCACATTGTTAAACTCATTTATCTGAAAGAGTTACTGAGAAAGTAAACAGCGCTGTGGTTCAACTGGCCAACACTCCACTTCCAAGTGCCAACATCCCATATGTGTCCCTGCTGCTCTACTTTCCTTCCAGCTTCCTGTTTGTGGCCTGGGAAAGCAGCAGAGAATGGCCTAAAGCCTTGGGACCCCGCACCCATGTAAGAGACCCTAAAGAAACTCCTGGCTCCTGGCATCAGCCCAGCTCAGACCAAGTGGTCATTTGGGGGAGTGAACCACCAGATGGAAAATCTTTGTTTTTCCTTCTGTCTAAAAATCTGCCTTCCCAATGAAAATAATTAGATTAAAAAAAAAAAAACAGAAAGAAAAAAGAAAGTTACTGAGAGAGGGAGAGATATACAGAGATTTTCCATCTACAGTTTCACCCTCTCCCCCTAAAATGGCCTTAACAGCTGGGCTAGGCCAGGCTGAAGCCAAAAGCCAGGAGCTCCATCTGGGTCTCTTATGTGGATGGTAAGGATTTCAAGCACTTGGGTCATCTTCCACCTGCTTTCACAGACCAATAAAAGGGGGTTGGATTGAAAGAGGAGCAACCAGGACATGAACCAGTGCCCATATGAGAGGCTGGTGTCACAGTCGGCTTTATTTGCTATGCTACATGCTGGCCCCACCAAATTTTTAAAAATTTTATGGGTCTGGTGTGATTTAGCTCAGTGACTAAATCCTAGCCTTGCAAGCGCCAGTTTGTGTCTCAGCTGCTCTACTTCCCATCCAGCTCGCTAATTATGGCCTGAAAAAGCAGTAGAAGATGGACAAAAGCCTTGGGATACTGCATCCACATGGGAGATCTTTGTCTCTCCTCTATGCAAATCTGCCTTTCCAATAAAAATAAAGATTTTTTAAAAAAATAAATGTTATGTTATTTTAACATTGTTTACATAGTTGAGAGGAATGTACGCCCATATTGGTCTTTGATCAGGGTGGGGAGGGTGAAGGCATGGAGGAAGGTAGGTGGGTCAAATGTTTCAATTATTTTTTTCCTATCTCCTCAGGAGAAGAAGGGGAAGAGACACTCCCCACTGTCAAACCACATTAGCACCTGGAGATGGAGAGGAGAGACAGTCATTTCATGACACCATAGAGACACTAATATGGGGAAGCATAAGGATATTCTTTCAATGGTTTTGACAGTTCTGAGACATTGTCAGTTTTGTTGCACTTGGGCCGAGAAAATGTTTTCAAGGTCTGTTGGCTGACCAAGTCCACCTTAGTGCATCTGCAGACCCAGAACAAAACTTGGCCGGAAGAGTGCAACAAAACTTGTTGCAAAGCTTGGCCAGGATTGATCCAACCTGATCTGCTTTCCATCCTCTGATTAGGCACTTTACATCCTTTGCTGGCCTAGATGAGCTGGCTGTCATGGCCTCCATGTACATCTGAGCATGCTGTCCACTGTATAGACATTAGCAACTGAGGAGGCCCAGTCCTGATGCATGCATTCCAGGATTGGAGCACATACAATGTGACCTTCCTTGTGGCCAGGGTTTGAGTCCAGCCATCTAGTTGGGGAATTCCCCAAGAAACCTTGTCTGGGTTGACCTCAGACTTGGCTCTCATGTATGCTAGCCAGTGCAGGGTCAGGTTCAGTCTGTTACTTGTACTAGCCAATGAGCTTACCAGTGGATGTACATGCCTGGTCAGTTCTGCCCCATCCCATCTCTCACATGAACTATGGGTGCTGTGGTCTAATCCAGCCAGGCCCAGCACAGGCCTCTCGTCACAGATACCAGAGGGTGCCTTAGCTTGGTGAAGGTGACCCCCAAGTAAACCCCACCAGGCCTGCCCCCAGTGCTAGCTTTTGCATATGCTAGTATGTGATGTGACCTAGCCCAATCTGTCCTGCATCTCATCTGGCTCTCATGAACACTCATACAGCTTAGCTCATTCTGCCCAGCCCCCAGATCTGATCCACATATATGCTGACAGGTGCTACAGGCTTGACCAGCCAAGCCCACATCCAACCCTGGCTCTCATTCTCATGAGCAGAAGTTGTAGCCCAGCAGGGGAGTGCCCACAGTTCCCGTAGTGTGGAAGTGTGCAGGCCCATTTCCAGGCCTGGATCTTATGCCTGGTAAGGGGTACCATAGTCTAGCCTGACATGACTTGTACCCAGTCCTGGCACTTGCTAGCTGGGGCTACAGTCTAG